GGCCATATTGCCCAGTCCTAATTATTCATGCACTATGGAAACTTTTTTAATTTAAACTGGAAACTTTTTTAATTTAAACTATTAATATAGAATATTTTACGTGTCGATACAAAAAGTATCTTATTATTGGTATTTACACTTTCACAATTTTGCCTTGTCATCCTCTTTACTTTGATTATACTATCTGATCTAATAGCTCATATTTACAGAGAGCAAAAATAAAACTATGATTCAGCATAGCCACCAAATTAAAACTATAACACTGGCTCAATTATTACGAATAATAATGATAGTGGCATAAACGGGCTTCCATACTTCCATCCTCTTTAGGGATGATGGAAAATTAAGAAGGTTTACAGCAGGAGGGCCCCTATGCTTAGCAACCAGCTGCTGTTTTATCAACCATGACTAATGAAGGAGGGAGAAAACGCTACTGAAGTGGAAAACGTTTTGATAACAGACACAAGTTATGTTTCAAACAAAACAAACAAAAAAAATTATAATAAAAAAAATTATAATAATAATAACATATACATATATATATGAAAATATATCCCAACGTTAAATAGCAATAGAAACCTGTTAAAAGAAATATACAATAAAATTGCAAAGTGCTCAGCCTATTAGAGCACGTGATATATCCGCCGTCATTAATAAATGACGCAACGCTCAGTTGTATAACGTAAAGCTACGCAGGAAGTCATTGATTGGTCGTTTTTCATTCCAAACTCTGCATCTTATTTAAAAAGTAAATCGTATTTAGTAAGATTGGGGTAAAGTTTAGGAGTGAACCTACCCTCAGGTGTTTTTTCCTCTCCGGAAGATGCGGTCTTCTTGTCTGTCACGCAGAAAGCCGGTAGACACAGCAGGGAATGTTCGCTCCCGCGCGCCTCCTGCTCCTCTCCAGCATCTTTAAGACAGTTCCTCCTCAGATGAACCGTCTCCTCTGCTTGGTCCTCACCGTCAGGATCGTCTTCCTCCCGGTCGTTATAGAGGCGACTCTGGTTTTCATGGCTGACAACTTTGTGAAACGTCACCGTTACGTCGTCTTCCACGGTTAAAGCCCCTTCCCTCAGACAGTGGTTGCTCTCGCCCATGGTGGTTGGAGGATGTGGCGGCTGAGAGGCAGCATTCCTCGGGGAAAGTGCCGTCCGACGTTTCTGTGTCTGTCCTCAGAGACTGGAAGCGCAAGGTTAATCACTAACCTTGGTGTCACTACAGAAGCTCCCACGCGGGAGTTTTTCTTTAACCCACAGGGGGGCATCAGTGAGCACAAAGCAGCTCTGCTGGAAATCCAAAACATTACACAACTCTTCAAGTTTCCCTTTGAGCAGATGAGAAAGATGCATATCTCTGTTCTCATGCATTTGAAAAAACATTCACCTGAACTATATTTATGTAGTATTAAAATATCAGACGAAAGTGTCCATAACAGTTTTAACCTACATAGAATCAGGTGTGGAGCTATGGGGGGCCAGGGGTGGCCATGGCCACCCTTAGCCAATCATTGCCCCCCCCCCTAGTACTTTTTTCTCTCAAGTAGAATATTCAAAACATTGTAATTTTATATATATGAACAATTACTAATATACCAACATTAGAGATGCTTAGTACAGAATTCATGCTCTTTTCAGAACTAGATTTTCTGTTTTATGCCGTACAGAGAAAATGTGTCTGCAAGTCATCTAAGAGTCTTCAGTGAATTCATAGATACTGTAAATAACCATCCATCCATCCATTTTCTTACATGCGTACCCCAAGTGGGGTCGCAAGGGGTGCTGGTGCCTATCTCCAGCTGTCTATGGGCGAGAGGCGTGGTACACCCTGGACAGGTCGCCAGTCCATAGCAGGGCAACACAGAGACAAACAGGACCAACAATCATTCACACACTCACTAACACCTAAGGGGACTTTAGAGAAGCCAATTAACCTAATGGTCATGTTTTTGGACTGTGGCAGGAAGCCGGAGTACCCAGAGAGAAACCACGCATGCTCAGGGAGAACATGCAAACTCCATGCAGAAAGACTCCGGGCCGGGAATCGAACCCAGAACCTTCTTGCTGCAAGGCAGCAGTGATACCCACTATTAATATTAATATAGAAATAACTATATTAATAAAAAAATATTAAATTATCAATTTATGTAGATATTAGTGCTTGTAAATATCAATTTAATGCAGAATGATATTCATAAAAGTAGGTAAGTAATGATGATGGAAAAGATTTATGCTCCAGAACTCAAACTTGAAAGAATTTTATCCAATATACCTTTTATCTAGACGGATGTTTAAATATATGCATCTATTTGTTAGCAAAGGCTGTAGGAAAGTATAGTTTGTCTTTATTTAGAAATATGGACATTGGGCTTGTTCCTGTTGGAACAATGTAGATTGACTCTGAGGTTCTGGTGCATATCCACTTTCGGCCACCCCTCAGTGTACATTGGTTATTGCCTGGCCACCCTTATAAAATAATATAATATATATATATATAATAAAACATTTTTGGCTACGCCTCTGGTTAAATCCTGCAACAATGCAAGATGATTATGCATTCCTTTTCATGTTATATCTTAAATTAGTAAAGGAGGATATGAATGTAGGATAAAACACTGACAACAGTAAGAAGAGTAGATTAAACATCCCATAATATTTTGTCATTTTGAGTGGTGGTTATAAAGTCTTACAGCTGCTGGGAGGAAGGATCTGTTATAACGCTCCCTGATGCATTTAGGGTGCAGCAGTTTGTCACTGAAGGATCTCTCTAGTTCTGCAACAGCTTTATGCATGGGGTGGGAGACATAATCCAACACAGATGTTATTTTAGTTAGAATAATTTTGTTTCCTACCTCCTGCACTGAGTCCAGAAGGCATCCAATCACAGAGCTGGCCTTTCTGATCAGATAATCCAGCTGCTTTCTCTCAGCTACAGATAAGCCACTGCTCCAACAGACAGGTTCATAGAAGATGGCTGATTCCACAACAAAGTCATAGTAGGTGTTTCGGAGCGCCCCCTCCACTTCAAAAGACAAAAGTAATAGTTCTAATAATTCTTAATGTCGCTTGTTGTATAAAAAAATCATCTACATCAGAGCTCATTACTATGAACTTTCTTGTGTGCACCAGATAACTTCCGTTACAAGTGTTATTAAAAAGTAATTTGGGTTAAGTTACTGTGAATACCAACTAACTGTGCTTTATTTTGTTTTATTAGCAAACAGTTGTATTTTATGTTTCGGAAAAACACTTAAAATGAAGATGACGTCCTGGTTAAATGTGCAAAGTGCATCTGAATGCATCTGATGTGCATGAGAAAGGTTTTTTTCTGTAATTTTCTTTCAGAGGCTCCATATTTTTCGGCACAATGTGTACTTGAACAAAAAAAAACTAAGAACCAATACTTTAACACTCTATGACCACATCATCCAACCCTGCATACTTTAACTAGTTCTTTTTTTGTGTTATGAGAATTTAATAAAGGTTGGGAAACACAAACATTGACACAGTTTGAGATAACCCATAATTGTTTTACACTTTCTGTTGAAACATTATTAGCAGGTTAAGAATGTTCAATTTATGACTTTTTTCCAATGCAAATATCAATTAAATGTAAGACCTATGTTTAATTAGAAAAAAGTTAAAGCAACTCATGTTGGCATCTCTTGGTGTGGGATCTGATCCTATCAGTTTTACATTTAAAAACCAATGGGATCAGAGTCTTACATTCAGCTGTAAGACTTTATAACCTCCACTGTTTCCGACAACTTAAAAAAGTTTTTACATTCATGCTAATTTTGCACGGTTTCTATTCTTAGTCAGTTAATTAACATGCTGCTGTCATTTTAAACATCTCTGATGTTGCTTATATTTTCAAATATCCATTACTGTAAAAATTCCCATAGCTGCATATTGGTTATCTATTCTTAAGGTGCACAGGATTTATATTGTTAAAAAAAATTTACAGTATTTTGTTTGTTTTTATACTCTTCACTGTTATGTTATTCTTATACACTTTTCTAAGGTCCACGTTTGTGTGACCATTTTTTTTCCTATAATCTTTTTACTGCTGTAAACACCAGAATTTCCCTATTGTGGGACAATAAAGGGATTTTCTATAGTATTCTATTCTATTATCACCTTTTGCAATGTGGCCAGTGCAGTAGGCATTCTAATGGTTATTGTTTTAGTCAACTATGGAAATCTGTGTTTTTTCTTCAGCAAGATCCAATTAAATACTTTCATGCAAGACTTTTCAGTGGATCAGGTCACTTGGTTGTTTTGATTTCCATTCCCAAAACAAACAACCCTAAGCCAGTTTTATGGGTGTAATTACAGCCTTGTTATTTACACAGAACCACAAAATAAATGGCTGCTCCCAGCACTTTTGTCTAAAAACAAACAAAGAAATGTAATTAGGATTTAAAAAGGTCAATAGAAAAGCCAAAAGATGTACATATTTAAAATGTGACTGAATGAAATATAAAACGTGGAATGAGCAATCTAGACTGAATTAAGACTTTTTTAAGGTTTTAAACATCACACAATAAATGCAGGATATTAAATAACGGTAAACTCAAACCAATTATCTCAGTCAAACAATCTGTAGTAGTTTTCTTTGTTTTACTTATTGCAAACCTAAAATAAAATGGGGATTGTTGAAATTATAAGTGTTATACATGATCCTGTTATTTTCTTATTGAAAAATATGAATTCTCAAGCTTCAGACTAAACTTCTTAGTTACGCTGAAGATGCACTTAATGTATCATATTTAGCAGCCATATTTATGTATAATATTCACAGTTAGTGCATATTATAAGCTAATTTTAAAGCATTTGATATGTAAGTTGTGTCATCTGCCCTTTTCTCATGAATTATTTAAAAAAAAGTCCTTAATCCCAGAATAGAATACCCTTCAGCCTAGTTTCTATTTATTAGCTATCATAATTAATTTAAATATTGTATATCTAATGCTAAAATGTTCAATCTATTAAGGTCAAAGAGTTGTATTTTATCAGAAGTGTTTTTTTTTATGGCCATGATGAAGAAAGAGTAAAAGGTTAGGAAAAAACAACATGCCCACACAAGAGGTAATGTGAATTATTTTCACAATGTGTGATTAATCAGATACTGGTGATCAAACAAACAACATTTCTGATTTAGCATTTTATTTCTATGAGATATAAAACACAGTGAGCAAAGTTTTCTAACCTGATCACACTGACACGACAAAAATGTCTACAGTTATGCAGAAAAAGGATCATGATACGGCAATCTGGTTCCGCTCTACATTTAATTCTACAGGCTATCAAAAATAACACTGAGTCTGGAACCTCCTACGTAGAAAACTAATATAAATTACACACACATTGTAAACACATAAATGCTATATTTGGCAATTTGTTGTCTGGGATGTAGTTTGTTATCTGTTCTGCTTCTTTTTGTATCCGATAGGAGCAGGGAGTGAAAGCACAGGTAGTGTGAGCATCACAGTGGTTAGCATTTAGCAGCAGAGAAAAGATAACAATGGTTTTTGCTGCTGGGGGAGAAAAGGGGCTAAGAGTTCAGTGAAAGAGAGGGCACTGGGTTACACAGTGGGAGGCTTCTGGTGTGTTATTCACTGTGAAACCAAAACCACGAGTTTATGCATCATACATGCAGAGTATTTTTCACAAGAAGATGTTTCGTCACAGTTTATTTTTTTCCTTCCAAGCATGAAATATTAATTGGGGATTTAGGGAGGATTAAGGAGTAACTACTAGACGATTAAGTCATTTTTTCCTTGAAATGTAACAGTGTGGTATTAACCAATGGCATACCTTTTACAAAAATGTCTTAATACTGGAAAGTGTATCTGATGCTCTTGCAAAAGTCTGAAAATTATTCTTGTATTTTTTTTTTTAGATTGTCTGTTTATTCAAGGTCTCCATCTGGACTGTCGATAGTGAGTCTATAGAGCTATTGTGTCACAGTGTGAGATTTAAATGGCTGTGATTCCTTATCAGAGCCTGCATGTTTTATTCTTCTTCTAAGCATTAAATAGGATAAGTCTACAAAGCCTTGCAAAAGTATTCACACCCTTTGATTTTTTTTCCACAGCTGTTTATCTAGGTTGTATTTGATAAACCGAGAGAAAGTGGCACATAACTGGAAACTGAAAAATAAGGTCCAGTTTGTAGTTTTAACTGCAGTAACATATTTTCTAAATGCAACCGTCCATGGCTGCAAACATTGAAAAACGTTCTGTGTGCTAAATAAACCCAAAACCTTCTGATTGAAATGCAAAATACCAACACTGCAAATCACCCTGAATGCTAAGTTACCACCTGGAAACGTTATGGAGATGCTTTTCTTAAGTAATGATAGGGAAGTTGATTAGATGGAGCTAAAAATAAGACAATCCTGTACAAAAAAAGAACCTGTGAGACTCTAAAACACATATGGAGAAGTTGAAGATATGTTATTACTTCACACAAAGAGTAAAGTGGGGTAAAAGTACATAAATCTGGTGACACAAATGATTGGAGAAACTTTAGATTTTTACCTCTAAAGAGCGTCTCGGCTCTCTTTTGTTTGTCTTAATTTGTGCTGCTGAAGTCAATCGTGACATCAGCTAAAGGTCAAAAATGTAATTTAGAAAAACACTGGATGTCATTTGGCAGAATTGGTGTTCTGAAATTAGAGTTTAAAAAGAATCAATGCAGACTGCATCAGTCTGTTCAGAACAGATGTAGAAAATAAAACTTTAAATGAATTTCTTTTTTTCCTTTCACATCTCACATGCCAGCAGCAAGCAATAGCATTGATGTTGAAGTATATTTCCCTGAACTGGTTTGATAAAATAAAGAAAAAAAAATCAAAGTTATAAAACCTGTCACCCCATCGGTTAGAAACTTAAAACAGAAAATTACAATAGAACGGGGTCTTAAAAATTAAGAAAAGTGGTAACTATATGGCTTTTTTATTTGAAAAAAAAGGAATTCCCAATAAGATAACAGTCTGACCTGCTTCTAAGGCCTCCTTGGTAAAACCTATAGTACGACGCAATTAATGGATTTAAATTCGGACTTTTTACATCATCACTGAAAAGTAAAACTGAATTGAACTTAACACAAAGTGATTTTAGTCGCTCAGGTCGATCATGAGGTGCTCATAAATCTGAGTTTTCCCCTTGAAGCTGGACGCCAGTAGGAACACCCGGTTGTCAACAGAGACCACAGAAAACCCCCGCGGTGCCTGAATACTCAGTTCCTGAGATGGGACAAACTGCCCCCTCTTAGTGTCCCATTGGTAGACCTGTGTCAGTGAAAAATCGCTGCCCAGGATGGCATACTGCCACTTGCCCACAGAGACAGGCTGGAACACCATAGAGCCACGGGAAGGGAATGCCTGCACTTCTTTGAACATGGCACCGTCCCAGCGCATCACCCTGGAGTCCCCGATGTATCTTGTCAAGCATATGAACAGCTCACCTTTGAAAAAGGACAAAGATCCAAGAGACTGTTTAGTTTAGACCTTAGGGAATTTAACATGGATGGGAAACCGAAAAGCTCACAAAAGCAGTTTACGTAATTCCAAATCTCAAATAATTTACTGCTTGTGGCAACAGCAACTCAGGAAAGAAGCACAAATAGTTTAGCTGCCTCACAGGCAAGGACACAATGAAAGCAATGTTTCATAGTAGTGATAAATGAGCTGTTTTTATTGTGGTGGCATAAAACCACCTTGAAAAGAAAACCCGTACCTACTGTAAGATGAGAAACAAAGGTCTAATAAATAACATACATATAATGCTATAAAAATGTGTTTGCTGCCTTATGGCTTTCTGGTGTAACAGTGAAATGTTTCAGATCATCAAACATATTTTGAGAAAGGTCACTGGAGTAAAGACATATGTTTTGAAAGTATTTTTTTTTCAAAGGAGAAAAAGGCCCTTTAAAATAAAGGTGAATAGAAAAGTAACTGCCCCTAATATAATGAAAGGTTGTAGCATCTTGACCATCTCTATTTCAATCAAGCTTTATTGAGAAATGGCTCTAAGTATTTTAGATCAATGTGAGGTGATTTGGACCCGTTCTTCACGTCAGAGGATTTTCAAGCATTGCTACTGCATCTCAATTAAATTAATGTCCAGATCTTGACTAGGCCACACCCAAATATGTATTTATTTACTTTCATTATTCCTAATAATACAAATGCAGACTTGCACGTGTGCCTTTCATGATTGGACACAAAGTGGTGGCAGGACTTTTTCTTTTCCTTCAGGATTTTCTGCTAGGCATCAGATTAATTGTGCCATCAATTAGTTGTCTAATTTCATCCTGTCACATTGTTTGATGGTAGAGTTTTGGTTTTTTTTTAGTGTGTGTGTGTGTATTTTTTCGCTGAAATGTTTTCACAAGATTTAACTGGTGGCATGCTTTCACAGAATTATCCACCTTGGTCATATCCCTCCACATTTCATTGCTAGAAATGTGCTCTTAAAGAGATCTTATAGGCCTTGTAGTGATCAGGACTACTGTGTTTAGTAAGTAGAAAATGGTTTATTTAACCTGGAGAGACTCATACAGAGAAAAGATGCAATTAGAAAATATTAAATTAATTTATACAAGTAACATGAGCATAATCTTCAACATGTTTCTATCTAAGGGAACCCAGCTAATTTCATCGACTCATTGACTGTCTTCAATCCCCCGCACTGAGCATGCATGTAGCGACAGTAGAGAGGAAAACTCCCTTTTAACAGGAAGAAATCTTTCAGCAGAACCAGGTTCAGTGTGAGTGGCCATAAGCCGAAGCCGACTGGGGTTCAAGGAGACGGAAGCAGATGAAGACATAAAAAAAAATAAGTTATTTGGCGCTCTGGCCCCTACAGAAGACTTTGATGCTGTGAATCAACATATGCTTGGATTAGTAACCTAGAAAAAGATTAGCGTAGTCTTCCCCCAGGGCCCGGACACTGGTGGTGAAATAAGCCAGAGGATGAGTGGGACTGAGAATGAGGGAGGAGATGGGTGGAAGTTTGCTTGCAAGATGATTGGCTTCGGAGGTGGAGCGCCCCCCCGAGTTAATTGGCTGGGGCTAAATGAGGGACATTGCAGGTGGTTCAGGTGAAGCTCAAAGGAGTCTTCAAGACTGAAATCACGCATAAGCTTCATTTACAGTGGTTTCTGTTTTAACAAGGGGGCTATTACATTTCTACAAAGAGCAAAAATAGTTTAGATATATATTTCTATTTAATTTGGATACCTTTCTTATTTTTAAATTAGGTTTGCTGATCTGAAACATTTAAAGAGTAAACAAAAAAAAAAGCAAAAACAGATTAAAGTCAATATTTGGAAACTCCTACTGAGACCAAATACACTTTTTTTCTCAAAATAAAGACCTTAACGATGCGGGGGAAAAAATACATTTCTACATTAAAAGACTGAATTACGCGAACTGGACAACTGAAAATCAAAATGGTTTAGACCTCAATGTTTTAGTTCTCACCTTTCACCCGAAAGTGTTTGATGGAGAATACGTCCTCCATGTCTGGTATGTCAGTCCTGCGGTCAAACTTCTTCTGGCTCCTGTTCCATTGGTACACAACAGGCCTCTGGGAGCTGCTGGACAAAATCAGGTGGGGTTTGTTGGAAATCTCTAGATATTCAACATCCGTATCCCTGTACCAGGGATGAAGCGCCTGGTGGGAATAGAAGCCAATGCCGTTCCATTTGTATACAGTTGTGGACCCAGCCTGCAAAAAAACAGGAAAAGAATCAAACAGTTAATTTATAATTTATGACAAAATTTACATTTTAGAGTGTTGGACTTGATAAAGTAGCGTGTGTGTGTTCATGAGTGTCCCTGAGCATATGCCTAAGCATATGCAAACGTTTGGCAATGCAAGACTAATCAGCAGGAGCAGACATGAGCCAACACATTGCAGACAAGAGCATCAGGGGAGGAGCTGGCAAACATGGTGGTATTATTCATTCATAGTAAATAATAACACCTGCACAATGGTTAAGAATCAAATTCAGTAGCCGTGATGTTTTTTTTCCCTTAAATAAAAACATTACTGAAACAGTAGAAAACGTGAAGAAGAAGCAAAAAAAAAAATAAACCTCCCAACCTTGGAGCTGTCAGCAATGACAAAGAAAGATTCTCCATCAATCACAAACGTCTCGATGTCGTTAGGTTTGCGAATCCTCAAAATGTCAATATCTTGGATCTTGATGAACTTGTTTGCAGAGGAGTCACGTTTGTAAATGTGGGAGCCTCCAAACAGCTGGGCCACAATGATGAAGAGCTGGTTGTCAATCACCGCTGGCTTGCAGACAACAATAGAGGTGCCTCGGTAGGAAAGATACACAAATTGAATGATTAGAGCTATGTGCATAATGCTTGCAAACAAAGCAAGTACCAGAATACAACCATAAATAGTTGCCTCCTTAAATCAGATTATAAAGACTGATTACTTAGAAAGAACTAGTGCCATTCTGGAGTTTTTGGTTCTGTGTAAGTTTTCATTTTGGGTTTTAAGTTATGGTTTATTTTATGTCATTCTGTATTGTCATATAATTTTTTTCAATTCTTTCTTTTTATGTCTTTTCAGCATTTTTGCTATCATTTGTTCCTTGGTCTAGTTTTAGTTAGTTATTTATTGTCTTATTTTTAGGTTATATTTTCCAGTTCTCCAGTTATCTCCAGTCCCTTCTCTTATCATTCCCATTAGCCGTATTTAACTTCTTTTTTAATTACCCTTTGTTGCCCCCTAGTGTCCTTTTCCTTTTCCCTTGGCTCCTTTCTAGCTGCTTCTGTCCACACCTGCTCCCAATTAACTGATTACTCCATTCTTTGGGTGTGTCCGAATGTCTGCCCTAATCACTATATAGGGCACTATATAGTGGTTACGCAAATATTAGAGTATCCAAACGTCTATTTGATGTAAAAGCAGTGGACTCCAAATTTCCCACAATGCACCTTGAAAAGCAGTGATCATCCATTACTAGACGAGCAGATATATCCTCAAATGCTTTGCGCAGAGAGCTCTCCTCGCAAAGCATTATGGGATTTGCTGTCACAGTGGCCTGCTGTCACTGTATGCTGTCTCTATCGGTCACTGGCAACAGATATCAAAGACGCCACCAAGCTGCGGAGGTGGAGTTACGTGACCAACGGGGAGAGAAAAGTAGGATTTAGGGGTTAGGTTAGACGTTCAGACACAGCCTTTGTTCTGTCTGCCATATATACTCCTCCTCTGCAGTTCCTCAGTGCTGGATTCTCTTAATTTCTTATTGTACATTTCTCCCGTGCTTCTCTAGTTTTTGGTTCCTGACGATGTACAGTAGCCTGTTATTTCTGGATTTATGTAAAACCATATAATTATAACACCATATAATTCACAATTAAAATTGTAAAAAACATATCTGCCTTGTCTACTCTGCAATTTGGTCCACAACAACATCCACCAACCCTGACAGCCTTGAAATTAAAAGTACACATGAGGAACGAGTTATGAGATGCAAAACACTGAGCCAAGCAATAGCAGACATATGGCCTTAGAACAATCAATTTTTGCATCCAAATGAGTTGCTGACATCAAAAGATGAAATATTTATATTAATCTCATTCATTTTCAATATCCAAGAAGTTAGAATGCTTTAGCTAAGTTTAAGTAGAACTCTTAGCTGCTGATTAAGGAGACGATACTTTTACTGTACAATTTGTAAACCTCTGGCTTTGTATGATCCTACTGCTCCTTTTTATATCAAATATTCACAGTTTGCAGTCTATAATAGTTTTTTTTATACTCACTTTCAATTGTGTCATATGTTCTAAAGGTCATCTCAACATGATCCCATTCCAGGAAGTTGCATGTGCCAGCAAAGGGCTGTGCAAACACCACATACTGCTCATTGGCAAAGGTGAAGGCTTCAACTGAAATGGACTCAAACCTCAGCAGCTGATAGGAGGCAAACTCTGAGAAAACAAGATACAGTATTGGACTTTGCCCTTGATCTTAAAGTAATCCCTTCATATTCAATATCTAACATAAACACGCATAGGTGCAGCAGATATTACGTATTAATATGCAGTGTGGAGCTGTTATTTGTGTGATGCAGGGACAGAGGGGACACACAAAGTGATACCTGTAGTGATGCAGTCAAATGACTGTGGCTGCAGGTCATTGATTTTCTTCCCTTGGTGAATAGGTGGCCCACTGCAGTAGATCTGGTCCAGAGTTGCGTTGGTGTTATGCATCCACTCCACCAGCCACTTGAGCTGGCAGTCACAAACCAGATTATTCCCTCGTAGATCCCTGCATGTGAGAAAAAATCCCATCCAGGCATATTGTAAATGATTTTCATCTTTAAAATATAAATATTCAGAGCTTTTTGGCTAATGTTTTAACGATGAAATCCCTCCATGATTTTTTCTGGGTTCAAGCCAACTAGCGCCCCATCCACTGAGTGCTCTCTCCTCCTCACACACTCCATCTGAGTAGTCATTGACCTTGAATTCTTAGACTGAATCCATGCATGCTCACATCATTCTGCTTGGTTTTGACAGTGCAGCCATAATAAGATCCGAGTTAGTTTTTTTCTGAGTGACTTGCAACCTTTTTGCTGAAACATTTTGGGAATCTGACATTTCCTTTTCTTTTTTGACCTTTAGACTACACTGCTTTTTATTTTTCGTCTTAATTGCATAAAAGTGTTCTACGCATCACCTTCCTTCTTTTCTCCAGTTTGACCTCAGGAGAAGCAGAGGGAGAACGATTTCACTGACTTATTGCATTAAATGAGTCATGAGTCAAAGGACTTTACAAACACATTTTTTTTTTTTTTGCTTTTCCTGATTTTTATCCCATGCAGACATGCAAAGCAAAAACCCTCTGTCCATTTTATATCCTTCCATATATTGTTTTAAACATTGCAAGTAAAGAGCTGGTGCCTGTCTCCAACAAGAACTGTGGCATAAAATAAAAACCATTAACTCACACTTTGGTCAAAGCATCCATACCCTTGAAGACATCTTTGGGCAGTGTTTCCAGGTTGTTGTAAGCCAGACTCCTAATCAACAAAAAGGAACAAAAAATATTATTTAAGATACTCTTTAAATCTGCAGACATCATTCTATGTAATCAATAGTGTCCAGAAAAATACATTTCCCATTTTTTACCTCCAGACAGAGCTCTGCAAAACACACATATACTATATCCTGCACATATTAACTTAGATATCCAAAGAGTGTACAGGTCTAAGGACAAAACTTTTAAAAAAATAGGCCCCACCAAGAGTCAAAGACATAAACATAAACATTTCACTGCTTAAATTAAGGTAGCATCAGGTAAGCCTTCCTCTGCAGAGTCTCTCAACTAAAAGCTCAGCTGAACTTCGAAACAGCCAAACAGACAGAGATGAAAGCTGCATTATTCAGTAGAGAGTTTGTCATTCTGAGAACAAAGACCATTTTCTTCTTCTTTTTTTTTTTTTTTAACAAGAATGCACTCTCCAAACAGAGGGATTTGAAGCTGGCTTTACTGCCTCTGCCCTTCAATGATGTATTTAGTGTGTGGGAAGCAGTTTAAATTCCCACACATTCTGAATGTATTCATGGTTCTTTAAAAAAAAAAAAAAAAAAAAAAAAAAAAAAACTCCATAAACAGTCTTTATAAATAAGAGGTGCAAATTCTCAGTTGTACAGGTTTCCTATAAATAAGGACACAACAAATCTGAGAGGTCTAAAACTATAATTAAACAATCTCAACTAAACAACACCATGTTTTGTAAGTATTTTTAGCATTAATTTAGGATACAATATATGTGTAATTTATCCTATGTCATTTAGCCTATAAACATAAAACAATAAGAATCAAACACGTGATAAACTAAGGACACCTATAGTGCCTTTGCATGACAGGATAACGAAATTATTGGAGCTTGGTAATGCTAATTAAATGCATTTGATGAACTGAGCATTTGGTTATGGACGTTAACACCCAGATAGGAATACATCAACACAATTAGAAAAGCAAATGATGGTGTTTTACATGATGCCATTCAGGAGTAGGTTCCAATATGCTTGATATGGTTTATCACCCAGGGTGTTATCAGAGTAGACACACATGCTGAGAAAAAAGGTTTTCTATCTATTGCAAGTTTATGATTTGCAGTTATGATTTGTCCAATCAGGAATTCGATCATCCTCTATAAAAAGTTATTTGCCAGAGTAAAAAAAAAAGTTTTAAAAAGATAAATTATTTCATATAGGAACATAAATGGATTCACAATTTCTGTTACTGTACTACAAAGGATGGCATGATTAGTAACAAATATCGTTGGATTCAAACCAGGGTTGATATTGTTAACTAAAACTAACAAAATTATGAAAACTAGAATTTAAAAAACTTTTTTTTTTTAACTGAAGTAAAAATAAAAATTGGACCTTGGAGAAAAAATAAAACTAAAATTACATTTTCAAAACTAATTAGGTGAGAGGTGGGGTACCCCCTGACAGGTTGTCGCAGGGCAACACAGAGACAAACGAAGACACACATGCACACACACACTCACAGCTAAGGACAATGTAGAGAAGCCAATTAATCTAATAGTCATGTTTTGGACTGTGGAAGGAAGCTGAAGTACCCGGAGAGAACCTATGTATCATGGGGAAAACATGTAGAAAGATACCGGGCCAGGAATCAAACCCAGAACCTTCTTGCTGCACGGCAGCAGTGCTACCCACTGCCTCAATATGAGGTCTAGTTTCCATTTGCTGTTCTAGCTTCTTTTCACTTAACTGCTTTACCCCAGCAGATGGCAGATAAGGCAGGCAGGGGTCCATTTCACACAGCAGGTTTAAACAAACTCAGAGTTAAACCCTCAACTCTCAATTGATCTAGCCTAAGGTTGGAACTACAGCTGCCCTACAGGCTGCTAACCCTATAGTTGCAAAGGAGAGGAAGATAGTGAAGGAGAAGATTGCTGCTCGAGTTAATGCATACATTTTTATGCAGTCTGCTATGGCAGGCTGTTTTTCCTGTTCCTAATTACATTCCTAGTTGGAACTGTAAAAGCAGATTTTCTAAATAAAATTTTTGCTGCAGAAACTGAATTTCAGAATGTAAAAACACTAAACTGTACAAGCAAGAATGAAGTTTTATATACATAGAAAGTGGCCATTATGACATTTATCAGCTTGACTGAATATGTATTTATAACATCTGGAAAACATTTCTTCACCGTCAAAATAATACAATTGATGACCAGCAATAATAGGAATATGGAGATCTGATATTCATTTATAGACATCCAGAATGTTTATTCCAGATGCAAAGAATGTCATTTTGTTTGAAGTAATCATTTTGACAAGGACAAAATGCTTTATTTTCCAGATATCAGGAATACATATTCATTCACACTAATACATATTAAAAAGGCCTGCCATAGCCTGCTGTAAGCACAATAACATAATGGGGGAAACTAGTTTACCGCATAATGGTAATGGATCAACATATTCTATTTAGGTGAAATCATCTGGAAGCAGGTGAGGATGAAGCATAAAAACATTGTTCTAATTGATAGGACCTGTGCATCATCTTACGGGGTTCCTCCTTATTTTGATTCTGATTTCCTTTACACAGTAAATTGTTGCTGTTTGCAGCCACTTCGGATGTTATCGTCCCAATAAACGGCTGTTATTAATGGTTATCAGTCCCAGTTCTCAATGAATCCCAACCCTGCAATGAATCCCTAACTCAATGAATTGCAACCCTGTAATTCACTTTCACCGCATAATTAATTATTCTATTCATGTAATATAAAAAAACAATTATGAGCGTGTCGCTCATATTAAACAAACCAAAACCAAATAAACCTCATAAACTGTCAACTGAGTTGTAAAACCCTCTCCCTATATAGCAGAGACAGAGGACACTCTGAATTTACTGAACAAAACCTGCTTCCAACCAGATTAGCTCCGGGGAGACTGTTACTATGGCAACAGAAACAGAGGTTGAGGAAACTCTCTTTGTGAAGCAGAAAACTCAGAGTTTCCTTGATTTCAGGTTTAAAAAGCTTTTTAAAACAGACCCGGGCCATCTGTATTGTTGCTGAGGTCTGTCCTTATCTAAGATTTTATTTCTACTTTTTTTGTGTGTGTGTGCCTGTGTCTTGCCACCTGTATGTAAGCTGAATTACAAAAAATTTTTTAACTATAACTAAAACTAATAAAAACTAAACTGAAGTTAATCATTTTTTAAAAATAAAACTAAACTAACTTGCAAATAATAAAAACAAATTAAAACTAAAATAGAATAAAAAAAATCAGAAATCAAAGCTAAATATGATAAAAACTAAGGAAAATTTAAAACACTTTATAAACCTTGGTCAAAAGAAATTTACCTAGACAGAAATGTTGTGTTTCTAGATTTTGATTTTGGATCAAACCACTTATAAAATATCTCAAAAACCACTGTTGTCCATAACAAATACATCATTCATACATTTTTTCTTAAATAGATTTTTAAAAAGGTACTCAGAAGCCAACTATGATGTTTTACCAAATAACCAAGACACTTGTTTAGGTATTTTTGACTGCAGGTTGCTGCAAAATCTGACCAGAGCAACCTTGCAAAGAGTCAGAGAGAGATTATAGGTCATATGTTTTAGGTTACAGTACAGTTATATTTAGTTTTGACCAGTAGGTCACTCATTTCCCAAGCTTGTTTCCTCAGTTAGTTTCCTTAGTCTGCAAAAATAAATGACACGTAACTGTTTATTTTATTTAACTGATCACCATTCTAATAACTGTTAGTTATAATGTTTAAATCTATAATAACAATTCATAAACATCTATAACTTACTGTAAGAATACAAATACACAGAATTAAAAATATTTTTTGTCCAAAATCCCTGGCAGACAAACAAAATAAAAACATCCAACTCTCATCTTGTGCAACCTGATATTGCTGACATGTTCAGACAGTCACCTTGTGAGCTAACCACTGCCAACAGCAGTTCCTCCTGCCTTTGCATTCCAGATACTGACAGACTGATATAGCAGCAGAAAACCAGACACTGGTGTGCAGTATATTTTAGAACAAGGAAAATTCTGATATTGTTTGTGAAATACCCAGCAGGCTGCTTTCAAACAGTTAGACCCACAGAAAATCATTGAAAACTTCCTGCATAGACGTCTAACTTCTGGGAAGAAGGCAATTAATTAGAACAACTGGTGAGGAAGAAAAGAAACACAGAAAAAAGAAGGGAGTTTAAAAAAAGCTTTGGATGTAAAAGGGAGAAAAGGGAAAGTCATATAGGATAAAAAACACTAAATACTTACAAATGCAACAGTGACTTTAGACCCCGGAAAGCAAATGGAGATATTGATGCAATTCTGTTGTTTTCAATGAATCTGTAAAAAATACACACAAAAAAAAAACAACTTAAATATAAAGAACTTAACAATTTATACATTTTACTATTAAAACTGAACACTTCTTAGGAAATAAGCAAGCCCAGTATGTGTTTGCAAATCTTGAGCCTGCTGGTAGTGTAATTCCAAACACAACTTCAGTATGACCTTAACAAAGCAGTGCATAATTGCATCATGAACATTTGTGTGGTTTTCAAAAATCTTTAATATAAATATATAGAAGGGTCGCATGAATTTAACACCATATTGTTCTCAGGTCCTGCTGAGGAAAAGCATCCTACATCCGGATTGTACCAACAAACTATTCATGAATTTCCTTTATAATTTTGGCCAGAAAGTTGAAGTTTCAATTGGATTGAATAAAGAGGTCTACTATGTATTCTTATCCAAACATGATCTCTAACCATCTCTTTTTCTTTTTTGAGGTTTTTACAGCACTATTGGCTCTCTCTTTTTTTCTTTCTTTCTTTTTTTTTTTACAGTGGACCGACAGGAAAAGGGTTACAACAGAGGGGGAGAGACATGCAGTAAAGGTCCACAGGTCGGGTCGGCCGCGTCAGGAACTAAGGCCTTCGTACATGGGTTGTGCACGCTAACCACTGCACTACTGAAGCACACCTCTGTGTTGATCTCTAAACAGCTTTCATCAATTGCTCTCTTCTTTCCACACTTCTTTTAAGGCTAGGTTCTTTGACTGATCTTCGCTTTGGCTCATTGCAGGTTCACTGGCTACTATGGCTTCATGGCTGCTTCTCTGATTAATCACCTCCTCACCCTGCTTTTGAGAACAGGTTGTGATGCCTTTGCAGGGTTGAAGGTGATGAATTGAACAGTGTTCTATGAATTTTAAAGCTTTATAATATCATTTCATCGTTTAACAGTGACATGGGCAGGAGTAGCATATGATAGTGAATCGAATGCCTAAGCAAACCACTCTTTTCAGATCTTTATTTCTAAACATAACTGTGAGAATTATGTATCATGTTCTTTCCATCATACAAAATTAAATGTAGTTTGCAATTTTATATAATTATTTACATCATTATATTTGATATTAAACATTTTATACAAACTCTGAATTTTCTGGTTGTGACATAACACAAATATTCCTTCAAAAACTCCCTGCATAATTATAATAAAGCAATTTATATACA